AGGTGAGCTTGGACACAAGAACATCCAGGAACTGCTGTCACCTCACTGCATCACCCTGCTCACACACCCTCTCCAACTGCTCCATTCCACTTGTTCTCCTGACTTTGTTATCCCACACGGTGTCAAGCAACGGGGGTAAAAAGGAGGGGATAAATAAGGGAAGCTGTGCACAGGGTTCATCAGAGGATCAGAAATGTGGAAACATCCTTCCTGCAGCTGTGCAGGTGACAGCCAAGGGTAAGTTAAAAGTACAATGATCCTTTCCTGGAAGCTCTGGTGACACCAAGTTACTCCTCTGCTCTCTGCAACTCTGTGGCAGGAGGTTTGAACCACGTGGGGGTCAGCCTCTTCTCTCAAGTGACAAGAGGAAACAGCCTCAAGTCGTGTCAGGGGAGGTTTAGGTTGGATATTAGAGAAAAGGTCTTCACTGGAAGGCTGGTCAGGCATTGGCACATGATACCCAGGGCTGTGGTGGAGTCACCATCCCTGGAGGTGGTCAAAAGATCTATGGATGTGGCAGTTTGGGACATGGCTTAGTGGTGGCCTTGGCGGTGCTGGGGGAACTGCTGGACTCGTTCTTATGGGGTTTTCCAACCCAAACAACTCTGTTTGCCTGATAACCTGCAGAATTCCTGCTCCCCATGCTGAACTGGCCATGCACAGACCTCCCAAAGAGCCCCAGACAGCAGCACTGCAGCGACTCACGGAGCTCCAGGTCAGGTGACAGAAAAATAATCACCATCCCAAGCTGTAGGGGAGGTTGTTTCAGCAAAACTTGCTAAACACTGACCCAAGAATAGCCACAAGGAAAGGAATCAAACCTCCCAAACAGCACAACTGCCTCAGGTGCCTCAGGGGGGGAGCAAGGGGAGGGTTTAAGGCACAAAGCACCAGATTTGCTTAAGGCAGCCAGAAAGCTCTGCAGCAGACACTGCATGGCTACCTTTGCTCCCTCAGAACAAGGAATTAATGCTCCCCCCCCTTTAGAACACTGGGCACTTGTTCCCAGCTGTGGTGGCCCAAGGCCAGCTTGTTCCTTTCTCCCAGCCTGGCCAGCTCAGATGCCTCCTCCACTGCCAGCAGCAGAGCAGGATGTGTCTCCCAAACCACCTCCAGCAGCTGGGGCTGGGCCAGGGCAGGACCACGCAGCTTCAGCTGGACACAGGGACCACAGACACTGGGAAGAGAGAAGTTGGGGTATGGTGCTTGTGGCTTCAGGATGCCAATTCACTGCTCATTCAAAATGCCTTTTTTATCTATACCCCAACAACTTGCTCTTCCTACCCTAAGAAATGTTTAGAGTTGAGCAACAAACAGATTTGCTCGTGAAAGGACAAGAATACACCCAACCCCCACTCGCCCCGAGGTGGTTTCACCTGACTAAACAATAAAAACAAAATCTTCTCACACAGGGAAGGGCTCTCTGTGGACACAGAGAGGCAGAAACACAATAAAATAGAACCTGTGGGTGCCAAATCCAGGGAAGAGAAAGCCATGAGCTGTGGGACCCAACAGCTCCAGCTTCCCCCAGCACCCCACATGCCTTGTGCTCTGGCTCCAGAGCTGACCCCAGCTTTTCTCAAGTGGATCAGGGACTGGGGTGCTGCAGACAGCTCATGATGAAATCAGAGCACCAACAAACTTTATCAAGTCACAGCTTCCAAAAAGGAAGGGGACAGTGTTGGGCTTGGTGAGCTCATAGGGATTTCTGCATGAACACAAACAACCCCCAGGGCACTCCAGGTCACAGAAATCAGTGCCTGTGGTCAGAGCAAGCCAGCCTCTGCAGGAAGCTTAAAAAACACAATGAAGGTGACTAGAGATAGTTGAGAGAGGGACAGGGCAAGACTGGAGCCTCGGGGAGAAGGGACAGAGCAGCCACAAGAGGAAAGGAAGCCACATGAGCCAAAGTAAATGGGCAAAAGGCACAGGTAAAGCAAAAAAAAAAAAAAAAAAAGCAAGCAAGCCAGAGAGTTTAAGGGAATTATTTAATGGTGATCAAATTGCAACACAATACAAGAGTACAGACAGTGTAAGCATGGATCTAGTCACACACACTTCCAGATGAGGGAGGGGCAGTGAGGATCAGCTGCAGGGATCCCTCCTGGAGCCTCCAAGTGCAGTCACTCACACAGGGTTTTGTCTCCATGCCTCCATGCACAGCAGGATTTGTCCTGCTTTTAACCTTCCAGACACCCTCAATGCTCTTTTCCCTGTGCATTCCTTGTAGGAAACCGTGTTTGCCAAACCCCAGCAACTGAGATCTGCAGCTTTTTGCTCCAAGCCTACCCAAAGAGCCACGGAATGGAAGGAAGCAGTAACTGTGGGGATCGAAGTCCATTCCAGCGACCTGTAGGAGAACATAGGAGGCTTCCCTGATGCTGCAAGGCTGAGAAGACTTTTCTGAGATTCTGTATTTAATGGGGACAGCCTTCCTGCCACTCAGATACACCTCCAGGCTTTTATTCTCCCAGGAGGTGACTTCCAAGCTCTGCCTGGATGCACTGGCATGTCTGGAGCCTTAGCCAAGGGCTCCTCCACCTGGAATGGGAGCGCTGAGCACATTCAGAGGTGGTTTGTTATCCTGGTTCTTTAGAGCAAGGTGACACATTCACTCCTGCCAGCAGTTTCGCCACCTCCCACACCCCCGGCTCTCCTGCCTTGCTCCCCCCCAGAAAGAGCTGCTCAGGCACAAAGAAATCCCCCTTTCACTGGGCAGAGCTTCCCTTGGGATTCTCACCTTCTCCTGGACATCAGAAGTGGCAACAAGAGCAGCTCTAGAGATGTTTTGCTGCTGAAGATGACCAAGACTGTCAAAAAACTGAGCCAGGCATTGGTGTGTGCAGCCACAGCTGCCACACATCAGGACAGACCCTCAGAGGCATGGGACAGGGAACAGTTTGCTATGCTTACTAAGGACACAAGATCATATCCAACACAGCCCTGCTGGTTTTCCCATGCATCATTTGATGGATGCAGACTGAAAAGTATGAGGATACTTCAGGATGCAGCTTACTTAGAAGCACTGGGATAACAGGATAATTAAATTTAAAAATTCCTCTTGCCTTGCCCAAAAGCTATGACAGAAACGCAGCAGCACATCCCACCACAGGACAAGTTGGGTGTTTCAAGCACAGTAATCAGGTCTCCAGCACTTCCCAGGATCAGCTCCATCCCAGCCTGCAGGTCCAGAGAGGTTGGGCTTTGAGCCACAGGAATGTTTAAGCCAGCTCCTGCACACTGACAAAAATACATGGATCACATTCCTCCTCTGGGTCACTCTGGGCACTGGACAGGCACTGATGAGCACAAGAAATGTATCCAGGCACAGTGTTTCAGCTTTGCTGCCAGAGCTGGGGGGTTCTAAGCAGCCCAGCACTATTTTTAAATAAAACACACTTAGCACACAACAGGCAAAAAGGGAATTGCATGAACAATCTACATCCACAGAAAGCCCAGCACAAAGAAAGCCATGCAAAGGGAATCAGGCAACTTAAATTACTAAACCAAGGTAACAAAACTGGACAGGGATGGAAAAGGTTGATGACATGATAGGCTCAGGATTCCTAGAAAGGTAATGACCCTGGCCTCATGTGCTGTCTGACATTAGAACATACTCAATGCACAGCTTCAAAGAAGCAAGATTCTAGTCCCAAAAACAGCTAAGCTGGGTCAGGTTTTCAGTTAAACGTTAAGGGCTCCTCCACCTAGCTCAGAGTACAACCCTCAATAACAAATGGTCAACCCACAGGAGGCATACAGAGCACATCCTCCCATGTCAAACATCACCACACCTGCTTTTACCACACAACTGTGGTCATGCCATCAGCAGAAGTTCAGAACTGTTTAACTGCAAATGAGCTCATCCCAACATGAGCAGATGTGCTGATGCATCCTCCAAGCTGAAGCTGTTACAGGTTCGGGACTGTTTCAACGCATGTGGCTTGTTAATGTCTTGTCACCTCGTGTTTGTGGCTCCTGCCCCACCAGAACGAGAAACCATCCTCCTCAGTTCCCTCAGCTGTCACTGCTCCCTCCTCTCTGTGTCTCTCCCCCCATACAGTCTCTGCTCTCTTCCAGTAACTGCCAATTTCCAAAAGCAGCCAGATCTGCCACAAAAACCATTCCTGGGTGGCTCAGTTGCAAAGCAGTTAAAGAGAACCCCCCCAAACACAATCAGTGCAACCCTTTCCCTGTGACCCCATGGAAAAACACGGGAGGGCAACTCCACCATGGCCGAGGTGTATTGGAGAGTCCAGCAGGAGCACAACAGCTCAGGAAAGGCAAGGCCACGGATCCAGGCTGGCACAAAGCCCAGCCACCCCAGCAGCCACCAGCTTACACTCCAGTTTTGATGCCACAGGTGTTATCCAGGGCCACAGGCTGCTTCCCAACCAGTCCAGACACCAACACCCGGTGGATACCACGAGTGCCGTGACTTTCAGGTGACCACCCGAGCTCTGCAGCCCTGCACAGCGATCTCTCCCCTTCCCCTGTGACCCTCCAGAGCCAGGACACGTGGCCACAGGCTCCCTTCCCTCTCCAGGGAAGCTCTGCTCCGTCCCCAGAGCAGCAGGGTCCTCGTGCCTCTAGAGAGGGACACAGCTCCCTGCAGGAGGGCTCACACCTGCCCAGCACTGCACCACCAGGACAGCGAGAGATGAGACAAGAGGAACAGATTTAGACCAAAAGCAGTGGACATTTATTCCTCGTTTGTGCAAGAGTGTCAAGATGCATTTGGGAATGGCTGGGACAGACCCTGTGGCTGGAGAGCCAGCGGCTCCAGCCTCTCCTGCCCGATGGCTTGGGTTACAATTCTACTAAGAGGAGATAAACTTGCAGACTCACCTACTGTCACACCAACGATGCTGGCAAATACACTTGTATACAAAGAAAAGTTTCAAACTACATTTTTTTTTCACTAGATTCAAGTGAAGACTTTGTTCCAAAAAAAAAAAAAAAAAAAAAAAAAGAAAAAAAAAAGACACATACAAGTACAATTTAAAACTGTATGAACATTTGCAAATGTTTAGTGCAAAGTAATTATGTAAAAGCTACATTTTATGAAAGTTTGTGCTGATGTGTTTGGTAGGTTTTTTCTTTTTTTTACCCTTTTACATCCATTTTTTTTTAGTTACATAAGGTTTCACTTACCTACAGTACATATGCATTGTGTTAGGTCCCATGCAAGTGGGAGTAATACCATCAGGCTTTGTAAAATGTCACTCTGATTCGCATTTAGTAAACTGCTTATTTGGTTTAACAGTCAAGTTCCTGGCACACTACACATCCTGATTTCATCTAAGTGCTCAAGCTCCTGTTTGCCTCTTCAGGTGCCTTGTGTGATGCAAACCAAGCTGCTTCACGACTTCAGCCCAAAAAGTTTTTTTAGAGAAATCCACCGTTAGTTTAAGCCTGTAACAAACTGCTCTGAAAATTAAAAGCCTATTCACACAAAGTTATATGTAATGACTGTAGTAATCAGTTTATTACACAGATTAATTCATTCTTGAACGTACAAGCTCCAGGGGAGCAGTTGGGTCTTTAAATACACACAAGTTTTCTGTCATATGGATTTTTTTTTTTTACCCTTACATCCAGAAAGACCTAAGCAGTTAAAAAACTTAAGAAAAAATAAGAGCTATTAGCTAGGTATTAACTGAGAAACCACATACAAACCAAAAAAAGTATGAAGGGAGGGAGAGAGTTGAAACAAATCAACATCACTTGATGCACTAATAGCTCCAATCCATTTAAATGGTGACCGGTTAAACTTAGACCTTAAACACAGGATGTGGGTACAGTTTCTCATTGGTCATAACATTTACCTAAGGTGTAGGTCCTTCAGAATAAAATGAATACAGAAACAGCTTCAAGTTCTTCACCTTGCTTTTCATAACTGTTATGAGTTTAAAAGGATTCCACTTAAAATCCTTCATGGATCGGCAACACTGTCCCTAGAAAATCTGAAACCCACCAGAACTCTCCCCATTCCCATTTGATTTCCTAATTTAACTCAGCAAGGAATGCTTTTAGGCTCACAAAGTTATGACTGAAGAACCAGCTTTTCACACACACACTTCTCTGCTAGGAGTCAATGTTGGTACGGGGAAATACAGTATTTCTAGTTTGTTGTTCCAAGTATGTACAACACGCAGCACTGCTGTATCAGGTAAACATGTGCACAGGGGAAGATGAGGCGTGGGCTCATAGAAAGCAGTCAAATGGAAATCAAAAGGACTTTCTCTTTCAGAGTTCCCCTATCTTTATTTGTAGAGGTTATCCAATAATTTCTTTAATTACATCGCATACTTCTGAGTCCATTCCCGAGCTATTCTGTTGTACCTGTATGTATAAAAAGAGGATTTACTTAACATTGCATCTGCACAGCATTTCAGCTCCAGCCCTCTAGTCTACACATGGCATGAAATCAGAATACTACCATCAATTTGGAAAATTTAAGAGCAAAATTAAACATTAAGTAAACAGGGGAAACAAGAAAGCCCACAGTGCTTCATGGAAAAGAAGTACCTGGTCATATTTACAACAGGAATACAAGATCTTTGTGATTGGAGGCACAAAACTGAGCTTGAACTCAGTTCAAGGGATGAGGGGAAAGGATTTTCAGGAAGGCTTTATCTGTGCCTCCCCCAGCCCCATCTGCTGTGTCCCTGGGGAAACTCTTACTGGAGGGTTTCACTTGGTCATTCTGGAAAACAGATAAACGTGGTCCCCCGTCTCCTGCTTCCCTGCAAAGTTAAGCCCAGTACCTGCCATCAACTAATCTGCTAAACCCCAACAGCCTCATTTCTTCCTACACATTTGGCTGTTTTGGTGACTGTCAGGACACAATGATTTGTCCATCAGAATCTCTTTATTCTGAAGGCACAATATAATTCAATTCCCAAGAAATCTGTAGCTTCTGCACCCAAATACCCTTTACAGCCAGAGGGAGCTCAGGATACTTGTGTAAAACAAAGCAGTTGTGTGATTAGCTTCTCTCTGACAAGCTGTTCACGTTCTAACAGAATTTGTAGGGTAAGACACAGCCTGAAGTTTCCTATAGCTATGTACACCAAGCTGGTTTGTGCTGGAATTTAATCTGCAGACAATGTTCTTTGGCTTAAACAATCTGACAATCCACTCATAACCAACTCTCCTTCATATCACTGCTCAGAGACTACCCAAGGAGCAAGTCATTCTGTTTAAACCCAAAATTTATTTCCCTATTTTCAGAAAAAATAGGAGGGAGTTCTGCACACTTAAAAGTTCAGATAATCACTGTTGATTGTGTCTCCAAATATGTGTTGCTCCTCAAATATGCAGTAGAGGAAGCAAATTTGTGGGCAATTTTCCCTTCCCTGATCAGATCTGGAAGGGAACAGTGAGGTAGGAAGTGTTTACACCAATACTAAAATGTTGAAGTGCTTGTTAGCACTGAAATTTCTCTACACTTGTTCCAGTCCTCCTGCCCCACTTCTACACCACTGGTTCTTCCCTTGTGTTGTCAAGTAAAGGTAAAACAGGGAGGTTTTGTTATTTCTTTGTATGACTCCAGACCCAGAGCTGCCATGGAATATTCTCCCATTGGAGTAACTTGCTCTCCCTCTGGTGGTTATATGGGATTAAAGCAGCTCAGACATTGGCACTATAAAGATCCCAGGGAAAAAACAACCAAAAAAAAATCTCTAAGAAGACCACAGAGCTTTGATTTGCCTCTTTTCACTCTCACTCTTGTTCAAGAAGCAGTTCCTCTCAGTTCCCCTTTACTGTGTAAGTGTGGATTCTGCCCTGTCAAATTCCATGGGTTTTTGCTTCCATACTCACTTTTCTCTATCTGTTTTGTAGATCCGTGCAATCTCAGGCACTAAAGGATCATCTGGATTGGGATCACACAACAGAGAACAGATGGACAAAAGTACTAAGGAGAGAAAACAGACACTGAATTAGTTCCAGGACAACTGAGGACACCTGCACCAGTCAGCCCATGCACTTCCTTCCCCTCCAGCCAGTAGCATCAGCAGCATTTGTTTCAGTTTGCCAAAGAGCACCAGTCCCATGTAATTCAGCTGAGTGATTTTGAACAAACTCCTTTTACCAGTGAACTACACAACTTTTCACAACCACAATATCACAGTGAGTAAGTAACCTTCTGGATAGGTCTATCAGTGTTCTGCCTGAGCCTGGTACCTGAGAGTCCTCTGGGAAACCATCCTTGCTTTTGCACCCAAAATTCAACTGTTCCCTAAAGCAGGCACATCACTGTTGGATTATTCGGAGAAGCATTAATTCAAAGTCAAACAGCAGACAAATCTAGCTGAAATGAAGGAAGCAAGGGCTGTTCACAGCTATATAAGAATCACAGAATGGTTGGGGTTGGGAGGGACCTTAAAACTCATCTTGTTCAAACCCCTGCTATGGGCAGGGGCACCTTCTACCAGCACAGGTTGCTCCAAGCCCATCCACCCTGGCCCTGAAGATATGTTTAAAAATAAGCTGGTCTTGCAGTGAATTGAGAGGCTTAATTATTTTCCAAGCATAAGGGAAGTTGAGATGGATTTAGTGTAGAACAGCATTCGAAATGACCCAAGAATGCCCAGCTCCTTGCACTGCTATCAACCACAGACCCCAGAATGTGAGTGTTTCACTATAAATACATAGTGTATGTATCCCAGAAGGCACACTCTGCTCGGCAGAGTGACAACCCTCACCCATACAAGGAGCCAGGACACTGCTGCAAAGCCACAAATAGCACATGGACATTCCTACACTCACTGCAGAGGAGAAGGGAGGAGAAGGCAGGAAGTTATGAGCAAAGCATATTGGGACAACACTACACCAGGCATGGCAGGGACATCTTGCCCCATTCCTGAAAATGCCAAACATTCCCTTCTCTCAGCCTGTTTGGATCAAACAGTGCCACTCCATATGTCCCTTCACCAATTGCAGCAAAGCAGTTGTCACAGTGCAGCCTCCAAGCAAGGTGCAGATGACAAGAGTGAGGAGTTTGAAGACACTAAACACAAATCTGCTCCAATTTCCATCACTTGCAGGAGGCAGAGCTATCTATGAAAAACAAAAGGAAACGGCATGCAGCCCATAAAAACAACAAAGGAGTTAAAATAGGTTAAAACACAGCCACAAAACAGATCTCAGAATAGCTTGGGTTAGAAAGCCCTTCAAAGTCCATTTCAATCCAGCCCCTGCCACAGGCAGGGATACCTTCCACCATCCCAGGTTGCTCCAAGCCCTGTCCAACCTGGCCTTGGACACTTCCAGGAGCAGCAACAGCTTCTCTGGACAACCTGTGCCAGGGCCTCACCACATTCCAGAGAAAAGATGGAAACAGGTCTGATATTCAGGATTTTTTTTTAAAAAAAAAAGAGTGAAAGCTTCCCTTAGGTCTGAATTGCACAAGTTGCTCAGTGTTGTGAGCACCAAGAACCTACAAAGCCACTTAGTTCAGTTTTCCCACCTGTTTCTATAGACCCTTCACTAAGGAATTATAAATTCCCAGTTCAAAGCCTCTAAAACAAGTTTGGTAATAAACTGGTCTTGGTTTGGGTGAACAGATTTCTGGTTCTAGAAAATGGAGCAAACCCCTTCTCCCTTTTCCCAGTTCTCTGCAGTGCACTTGTGAGTCAAGAACTTCATGATTCTCCACCATCAACTGACACAGGGACCATGTACTGAGCCCCCTCTCAGCTCAGAGTGAGGAGGTCTGCAGACACCACTGCTGCTCAACTGCTGTCCCTTAGCAAGGCACCACATTTAGCACCTGTAGTACAGACCCAGCACCAGTTCTTTTCCCCCCCTATAAATCAAGTAAAGCCCACGTTAGTTTTCAATGGGAACCTCTCTGCCACCTCACACTGCTCCCAGTCAGTGCAGTTTCAAAACAGCCGTTCCTCCAGCAATTTTCCTGTAGCTCATTTCTTTCTGTCTGTCAGACTCCACTGCTCTGGTCACTGAAGTTTCTTCAGCTGTAGGATGAGCAAGGCAGGTCCAATCTGTCCCCTGCCTTCACCAGAAGACACAGGAAATCCAATCAAAAGTTTTCTGGTCAACTGTTGTAACTACTCCCTCAAGTTTTATCTTATCACAGTCCTTTAAAAACCCAAGGACTTCTCTGAACACAGTGGCTCAGCCTTCATCAGCAGAACCACACTGCAGGTCTGTCCAATGCTCTCTGCCCACCCTCACGCCCCTTTTCATAACACTCAGCAGTTCACTTTTCAGTATCACTCCAAAAACACTGAATAAAAATGGACGCAATCATTTGGCTTCAAGCTGCGCTGCCACATTCAACTGCTTTGATTTATTTTTCTAAGTCTTCATTATCCCAAACTATTCTCATTACACTCACTCTTGCTGGTGACTTCATATCATTCCCCTTTTATCTGTACAGCCTTAGCAAAAAAAAAAAAAAGTGTTTTTAACTAAATTGGTTTAATTTTAATATCCTGCTGAACCCAGCTATTTGGCCAAAATCAATTCTGCAAGTTTCTCCTGAGGCTTTCCGCTAGAACACTGCACATGCACACGTTTTAGACCAACATGCAGAAAAATCCCTTGGAAAAGGCACCACCTCAAAGTTTCCAGTGCAAGGGTAAAGGGTTGCTTACCCTTACAAATGTCAGCTGTGTATCACAGCTCTTTGATGCATCAGAGTAATGAGTTAAACCAAAACCATGGAATGAAAGACTCACCAGGCCACCTCCCTCTGCCATCAAGTACTACTGCAATGAATTCCACAGCAAAACCATGACATTCTCTAGTCAAATGACTACAGCACTACTATCAAACAATAAAAAGAGAATTTCCAAAAAATTAAGGAACCACAGAATCAGGTTGAATAACCACACAAGGCAGGTAAGTGACACTTTGCACCTGAACATCCTGCAAGGCCATAGGCAAAGCATTATCAGCTTGGCAGCATCCCTTCAAGTCTCTCACTGGCAGGGATGTACCACAAGTGTGCACTCTTTGAATTCAAGTCTGGATTTTTCTCAGTAACAGAGAAGTAAATTTTACTTGCCATTGACTCAAGGGATTCATCCCTTGAAATAATTCTGTACAGAATTATTTCTCATCACTCTCAGCTGTCAGAGCTGTCCAGACACTAAGCAACTTAAACCACTGTCAGTTTAAAGCTCCTTTTCACTCAAAAATTGGTTTTGCTTTGTTTTATTTCACCAGCTAGGCAGCTTACTGACCTCCAGCCCTTCAACTACACTCCCCATCTATCTCTGCAGACAACAGACACAATTTACTCTTCAGTGTGCTTCCTGCTGCCATGGACTAGCACAGACTGAGTACTCCTCAACACCAAGGAGCCAGGAGAACCAAACTCATCAAGCAGAAGGGCTGCTAAAAAGTGCTTCTAGAAAATGGGCTCAGCTTCCCCACAGAGCAATGACAGAAATGCATTTTCATCAGGCAGAATGATCACTGAACACTAAAGACTGCTTGAGTAACATGCAAAATAAATGCACCAGTGTAACACTGCAAAACTGAGATCCAAGTTCCCACTGCAAGACTTGACTTTACAAAGCATGTAACACTGAAATTCATGGGCAACCTTTCTCCAGGAAGCTCCTCTGTGCAGAAAATCATGACAGCATGTCAACAAGACCAGCTCCAGTTCCCCACTGCACAATCCAACTCAGCAGCTGCTCTGCTGTGCTCTCACACCACCAAGGTCAGCCCACCACCCTAGACAGGCAACTGCACCTTCCTGGTTCTGCCCCACCTCAGACTGAGCAGATGTGGATGCAAATTCCATATGTAAATTCCATGGCTGGGTTTTCTCTGCTATGAAGCAGCTCAGCCATTACTCAGGACAATCCACAGGTCCTTCCAGCACTAGCTAAATGAGCAGTGCAGAACAAAATTCAAAGCCTATCTGGCTGCTGGAACATGCAAATTTAGGTGTGTTAAAGCTCCTGGAACTCAAAGGTGAAGAGACTCTTAAAAGCAGTCAATCCTCATCCTCCAAAACACAAACCCCAAATCATTCACTTTGTCTGCAAAGCCTGACTGGTCTAATATGCACCACTCCAGCCACCCCCTTGACACAGGGCACCAACCACTACAGTTCCTGCTGTTTAAGTCTAGCTGGAATTCCAAACAAACTTGCTCCAGTAAAACACTCATCCATGGGACACTTCAGAGTAAGGAACAGCAGCTGAGGAGCCATGGAATCTCTAGCAATTCACAGAAGGGAGACAAATAGCACTCACTTTTCCAAGGCAATGAGCTACCCAGAAGAAACAGCTGCTGTTTGGTGCAGTTACTGCTCTCCAAAGAGGAGCCAATTTAGAATCCATCTAGGAATAAAGGTCCATCTCTAAGCAGGCACACAGACTGCACCAACAAAATGTTTGTTGCAGTACCAAGAAGGTGCTGAGATGGTTGCTCTGCCTGTCAGATTGTCAGAACAGCAAGACGACACTCAGCTCTCCATCCTGGCTGGAGTCACACCAGTGTCAGGACCTCCTGATAATGGAAAAGCTCATGCAGTGACACAGAGTAGCTGGAGAAAACAGGCAAGCATCAATCCATGGCCATCATGGGTTCACAGCAATGGCAGCAGCTCACCCCACCTGCTCTGTCCTGGGTGAATGACAAACACTGTGCCAGGGCTTTCCAAGGAAAGCAATTTGTCACCTCCTGGAGACCAGCCCATGGGCTCTGGCAGACAGTGCTGTGCTTCTGGTCCAGCCCAGTTTCTGAGTGTGAAACTAACCATTTCTCAGCTCAGGTTTAACTGAGCCTGGTATGCTGGGAGACACCTCTGCCAGCAGAAATGGGAGCTTTGGACATGTAACACTGCTGAGGAACTCTTAATTCCATTTTGAAGGGTTTATCCAGCTGTCCTGCTTCTCTCACCAGCAAGGGCTCCTTTGTTCATCACCAGCCTGGCACATCAAGGTTCACTGCTTCTTCCATCTCTGTTCCTCAAAATCAGGAAAAAACCCAACTCCTGTAAGGAGCATTCTCCTACACAATCATTGTTTTTGATTTTCAGGCCCCAAACCCTTGAAACTTGAGACTTACAGTTGTCAAAGCTTTATCAGTACTGGCAGATATTAAGCCTGCAGCATTAAACACTGGAAACACCACTGACCAACAGGTTCAAATGCCTGGCTCCTGATTGTGAATAGGCAAGATGCATCCAAATAAAAGAAAGGAACTCTGGCCTCTGCTCAAGTTAAATCCTATTTCTTAACCACAACCCCATTTCCAACTCCTCCAGCCATCTTCCCCAGCCTTATAGGAAGTGTACCTTTAAATCTGAGCAGTTTAAACTTCTGGCTTCAAAGCAACTTGTATTCCTGCTAAGTCAGTTCAACAATTTCTGGTGACAAAAGAAGAAAAGTTAAGTGTTGCCCATTGTATCACAGACTGGTTGTGGTTGGACGGGATCTCTGGAGATCATGTTGTCTCAAGCAGAGCCACCCAAGACAAGTTGTCCATGACAATGTCCAGGGGCTTTGGAGTATCTCTAAGGTGGGACTGCCCACAACCTCCCAAAGCAACCTGTGCTGGTGGTGTTCAGCATCCTCACAGTAAAGCTGCAACATCAAGTGTTTCCTGCTGTTCAGAGACCCTCCTGGGCTTCAGTTTGTGCCTACTGCTTCTTGTCCTGTGCACCTGACTCATAGAGAAGAGTCTGGCTCTGTCATCTCCACATCCTCCCTTCAAGTATTTACAGACACTAAGACCCCCCTGAAGCTCCTCCAGAGCAGTCCCAGCTCTCAGCCTGTTCTCAAAAGGGGAGATGTTCCAGTCCCTCCATGGCTTTCCTGGCCTTTCACTGGGCTCTCTCCAGTACAGCCACACTCTCCTTATCCAGAGAGCCCACACTGGACACATGCTCCAGACACAACTTTGTCAGCATCCAACAGAGGGAAAGGATCACAGCCTGCTGGCACCACCAGTCTGCTGGAGCAAGAGAAACTCCTGGGAAGCAGCACAAGTGGTTCAATTACAGTTGTGAGACTTGAAACATAAAAATGGGCATTTCCCTCAGAACCCCAACTCAGCACAGCTGGAGAGATTGACCCATGCTCTGTGACAGAGCCACCCCCAGTTATGTGGGTAAACACTACAATGGACAAACTAAAAGCTAAGATGATCAGAAACCAACTTCCTGATTTTGAAAACAGCACTGTGAATGTCCAATTCAATCTCTTGGTACTATTACTTCCAGCAAGCTTTAGTGAAGTGATTCATGAAGAGCAACATCTCAGAAAATCCTCACTGCACCAGGCACAGAAGTCTGGGCAGTGAGAGCTGAAGTCTTGCATGAATGAGGCTGAGGTTACTCACTGCCCCTCCCAGGCAGGGCCCTCCAGCACAGTCACACAGGATCCATGATTTATTTGTTACAAAACATAGGGAGAAGTGGGACAAGACAGCACCTTAGTCCAACCTTTACTGCAGAACTGCTTTTGTTCAGTATTAACTCTTGTACAGGCACTTGTCAAATTCAAGAGAAAGAGTGTTTTGCCCCCCAAAATGGCTGAGAATAGCTGCTAATAGTGTTAAAACACTTTATTCTCCTGTTTCAGGCAACAGGGATTCTTATTTATGCAGACTTGGAGATAATGTTTTTAATTTAAGCCTACACATTCTGCTTAAGCCTTGGAGTTCAAATTACCCACCATGGGGTGTTTAAGACTATATTTTGAGATTATTTATTCTCCAGTATGTATTCTTGAGGGAACACTGAGCTCAGGATTACTAATATAAGCAAGTCCACTGCTGTACTGAGACAGTCACTGCTGTTCTCCCAGATTTTAACCATTTTAACAATTGTAGGAGGAACAGAACCCCAAAATGCCAATCACCTCTATCATAGCCACAATCACTTTATTAAATTGCTTACAGAGAGCTGGCCCCAGAGCACGAGGAGCTGAGACCCTTACTACCTTTACCACTGAACTGAAATGATTAAGTAGCACTGACATGATTTTTCAGTGTTTCCACCAAAAAGTGGCACTTTTAACCCAAAGGAAGTCACTGCACACTCCTTCCCCTCTCTCCTTGCAGGTTAAGGTGAAAAACATCTTCATGTACCACACATTAACTGTGAGCATAACAGCAAGCTGCTGACAGTGCTGCCTCCCAGCTGCCTCAGGAGGAAGCTGTGCATGATCAACTCTTTCCTACAAGGATTGTTTCTACTCTTCCCAGATTTCTCAGTCAGCAGGAAGTACATTTTTTCATAGCTGCTTTAAGTTATCTGCTTATAGACTTTGTATTCAAACATCTTGCTCCCAGTAGCATCCAATTTAAAGAGTGACACAATTTAGAAAATACTCTAAGAAATCTATACTGCAAATAATAAATTTCTGCTTTGGAAGAGGTGTGAGCTTACTGCTGAATGTTTTAAGTCTTATTATTCACTCTAAATTACCTAATCAAACAATTTTTCCTGCTAACATCACATTCACTCTTTGATAAGGCTGATCAGTTACTAGAAAGCTGAAACACCCCTGAAGTCTGTCATGACACTTTCTAATCTGACTGAACAAAAGACTTCAACCCCAAAAGATTCAAGTTGCCTTTGTAGAATTTATTTCCATTTGTTCAAGACTGGAACACTTCCCCCTAAGTATCAGCTCTTTGCTTCTGAAGTTGAAGCCTGCCTTTTGATAAGGCATCCCTGTGATTCTGAGGAAAGTATTCCTATAAAGTCACCTCTAAGAATTTGCTTTGTTGTTTTAATTCCTTCAGCAAATGTAGCCCAAGGGAGCTGGGACAAGGTTTTCTCCCAGGTTAGAGCTGTGTGGATGTTGTGCTGTGTGCAGCAGAGTGTGGGCATTCAGCTGAACTGCTCAGCAATGACAAGTGATCAGCACGACAGAACCTCCTAAACTCAGGGGGAAGAGGGGCACTGGAAGGGGCAAAGCGGACAGCAACCCCGATCCCATGGCTTGTTCCAGCTGAGTCACAAGGATATAGTTTAAAAAGGGTAAGAAAAAAGAGCTCAAAGCAGAACAGAGGGATACTGAGATGTTAAAACATATTGCAAATGTATTTGGGCAATAAAATTAACACTAGGATATATTTTCTGAGGGATTAAGGCTGACAGCCACTAACAGGCAGTTCACTGCCATCCTGGACCAGCCTCATAAATTCTTAACCCACCTTCTCCCAACTGTCCTAATTCCAGTCTATCTTCCAGTATTTTCAATCTTGCTGTCTATCACCCCACCATCCATATGGTCACTTCAGACTCCCTAAAAAAATACAGCATTTTCTCCAGTTCACCAGCAATTACATCAAACCAGAACAGACATCAGTGCTTGGGGCTAATCTGGTGCTTCTAAGAGCAGCCAGTACTGAGAGCACTTGTAAGGAAACTGCAGCAACATGACAATCATTTTTCTTCATTGACACCATTTCATCAGTTCTTTCAAGACTCTGAGCCTTGGGCCCAAGCAGATTCACTTCTGACAAGAGACAAGGAGATATTGTTTTGCCTTTCCATCTGCTTCTGCAAACGCCTTTAGCTGGACAGAGAATGTGGGAACCTCTGTGGGTTTAGGGAAAGGCAGACAGTGATGATGTCCAAGGGATGTACCAGTATCACCTGTCTGAACCAAAAAGTGCCTGGGAACATCACATGTAGTTGGAGAGAAGGACAGGCAACAGGAGAGCCTCAGAGCAGGGACACTGTGAAGGACAATGTAATCAATGTGACAACTGCAGCATTTGATTACAAGGACAGTGTGAAGCTACAGAACAGAAGGGTCAAGACATGATCATGCACAGGGTAGGCTGCAAATATTCCTAAATAGCTATGGCTAGACCTACAAACTTGACCCACAGTTTGTAAATCTACAGTTTCAATAGCCAAAAAAAAAAATCCAGCCTGTGTCTTCTTTCAAGAAGTTTAAAGCCTCCTATTTCTATTAAATATGAATACTGCTTTACCAGGCAAAAGCTATATTCCAGTGCCCCACAAGTTAACACAGGTCACAGGGACCAAGATGCTATTAGCTAATTATTTTAGATTGTTCAAGCTAGGCAAGTTTTAAACTATGTTTCAGTAATCCACACCACTGGAAGTTCTGTTAAAAAATTAGCAACATGGAATTCTGATGCTCCCTTGAAAGAGAAATTCTTTTTTATATGACAAAGAATTAGCAACTTCACCATTTTATAAAAGCCACAGCTGCTCCCTTTTATATTTTACTCTGGGTATACCTTGAACAATAAAGTCTTCTACTGTCACACACTAAGTTTTATTTTATATGTGTTTATATCTATTGTTAGTTAAAATGTTCTGAGGTGAGGTGGCAGGAGTTTGTACTCAGTGTAGAAAGACTTATCTGATCCTCTGGCAAAGCTGAGGAGTCTCCCTATGGCCACAGAGAAGCTTGATGTCTTGAGCATCCCATGCTCAGGAATTGGCTGCAAGCTCCAAGTAGAGTCACAGGACAGAAGCAGTGACCACAGAAATGGTGGATTCCAGCAGGAAATGCAGCAGCTTTTACATCCCAACTCAGTACTTCGTTTTAGCAGAGTAAAATGAAACAAGCATTGGAGGTACCTTTTGAAATAGTTAGTGCTGGGGACCACTGTGATCGTAGAATATCAAGACAAATGCTGCCATTACTGTTAATATTTGGATGATAGATTCTTGTTGTAAATGCAACCTGCAGAAGAAGGAAAATTTCAGTGTAGGCTCACAAATACACATCACACCACATGGTAAAGGACAGATTTATGGCAGAAGCCACTCACCTTAGGTGGTTTGAAGGGATAATCTGTTGGGAAGTGAATTGTCAAGAAAAATACTCCACCTTGATAGGGACTGTCGTTCTGTTAATGAAAAAGAATCATTGCAGCTTGAGAAGTTACTACAAGACCACCAGTCATAAAAAGCCATGAACATCAATTCTCTCATACTTACTGGTCCCATTATTGTAGCTTGCCAATGGAACACTGAAAAAGAGAGAGATTTACTTCAGTTTGGAGAAGCTCGAGTAATGATCTACTTTCTTCCAGACAAAGCAGCACAGAAAAGAAAAGTCTATTTTAAAAACAAAGCCTTGTGAAAGGCCGCAGGGAAGCGAGCCAAGGAATTAAAGAGAGACAGAGCAAAGCACTCGACATTCTGCAGTCCTCACTCTGGGACTGCTGTGGTACCACATATGTGCCCTGCAAAAAATCACATTACAAGAGAAATCCCCATAGTTCTAGGCAACTTTTCAGACTCCAAATTGTGAGTTTAAACTTTGCAATTTTAATGAAACAGCTGAATCAGCACCCATGACTGGCCTCTTTGAGCCAGCTACAGCAAAGGTCCAGCATGGATTCACACCTGCTCTCCTACTCAGACCTGTGACACATGGAGGGGAAGCCCAAGATCTGTGTAAAACACATATACAGAGGTGACCTAAACCAGTGGTGTCCTCACAACATTTAAGCTTAATCTCCACAGAGGCCTCGAGATTTCATTAAAGCAGCAGAAAGAACTGTCCTGAGAATGCAGGAATGACAGTCTGCCCCATACTTGGAGCAGGATGTGCCAGGACACACTTCAGGTTAAACAGACAGAAGTTTATCCTCACTTGTATGCATCTGCCCAAGAGAACTTTCACCTGGTAACACACAGGATTTGTGAAGAATGTTGTTGTGCTGGAAAGAAAAACAGTCAAAGCTGATAATCTGTAGGAGGAGCACTGGGGAGTTCTCAGGATTCCTGCATCTCAACAGGCTCCAGTGCCTGTGCAAAGAGCACCAGCCTAGGAAAATATTTGTGAATTAATACTATGGAAGCTTCCCTCAGCATGGATGTCACCTACACAGCACCTTCAGTGCTGGGGAGTTGTAGATGAGTCCAGTTGTTTCAAGTGAAGTCTTCAAGACAGGAGATGAAGCCACCTGGAAGTGTGTGTGCCTCACTGGCACCTGGTGTCCACAGCTGTCAGGACTGCCTGGGCCAAAAGCAGGAGTGGTACTACCTGTTCTCATCTAGCACGAGCAGCTTTTAATTACACATGGTACTGGCATTACAGCTCAGAATGATCTCATACAAGGAAGGAGGAAAAAAGCAGAGTGGGAGCAGCCCTGCAAGGCCAGGGGAGAAGAGCGTTGGGTTGGAACAAGTTTGTTTTCATCAACTCCTACATTTCTACAGGAATGTGTAAATTTCTATACACTTCAGCACTGCTGAGTAGCTCAGAAATTATTCAGAAAGATCTTAGCAGCTCATTTTTTCCTTTTAGAAAGGATACCTGAGCTTAGAGTTCTCAGCTCTAACAGAGATAGAGGATTTCACTACTTAAATATTCACTTTCTCAGGAGCCTGGCTTTGAGAAACTCTACATCCAATGCAGAATTAGGAAATCAAGACAGCAGCTCACATGTAGCATTCACCCAACTTCAAGGGGTTCAGACAGTTTCCCAGGAGCTCCCTGTCACCTGCAGCAGGACAGGGAGAAACCTGGAGGAGAGGACAAAGGGGCAGCAGAAATCCCACAGGAGATTGTAGCCAATCACAACAGAACCAGTAACAACCTCACAGATCCTGATGAGATTCACTGTGATTGCTCTGCAGAGGCACCACTGGAAAGAGAACCTCAAATAACCAACGATTCCCTTAAACCAAACAAAACCCCAGAAATAAAAACATATCCACAGGCAATCTTAACTTTTTAAAAGCTAGAAGGGAGGTTTGTGTTTCCTCCCACTCAACTCCCACCCCAGACCTATATGCTTGTTTAACCTAAGCTTTAAATCCTGGTAACATCCAGGACGAGTCTGGTGAATGCAGAGATGGATTTGTCATGCAGAGCTTATTCCAACTGATTCTTTCCTTTGAAATCAGCCATACAGAGGCATTTACAAAGGCAGGGGGCTATTGGTTTTCAGTAGGTAAGCACAGGTACATGCTTGGAAAAGGCTAAGCCACTGGAAGCATATCAATGTCATCAAGGCCCCAGCACATTTCCAAAACACAGGCCAGAGGTGGGTGGAAGAAAGCTAAAGCTACATTGACAAGAAAATCCCATTCCTACAGTGCACAAGGTAGGAACAGCCCTTTACTTTCTGAGGTTCATGAACTACAGGGATGAGAAGCTTACAGCTGGGGACAGTTTGTATCAGCTGGAATAGCCACAGGACAGCACTCTGCAAGCACAGCATGTCCTGAACTCTGGGAAATGTCGCTCTGACAAGGCAGCTGCGGCAGACCTGGAGCACAGGGACCTGGGAGAAGGCACCTTTCTGTTGCTGCCACTGCTATCCACTTACACACATCCAAATTGCGGCTCTCAAGAACAAAAGTCTTTCATTAGAGGTCTTTCAGAAAGGTGGCAGCAGCAGAACTCAATAGTACTTTAAAGCTTTCTGTACTCAGTAGTAACTTTCCATTCTCAGCCTTCACCAACTTTTGTTACCACCTCCTCTGCCAGACAATCGTCATCACCTTTGATAAGGCTTTGGAAAACACAAAGTAGTTTATCATGGCACAAATCACACTTGCTAATTTAAGGGAATAAAAGCCTCTCACTGTCTCTCCATCTTAGTCATTTCTTGTCTCTGAAACTACAAACCTCTTTGAAATACTATTTGGAAAACGTAAATAGGTTGTGAAGTAACTACTGCTAAAACACCCTCAAAACCAAGCTGGGCTTCCACTCATTTGAAAAAGCTGGTGAACAGGAACATTCCCACTAATTTCAGTATTTTCACCCTCAGGTTTCATGTGATTTTTTTTAAAATGTAGCCCTACATTTCTACAGGAATGTGTAACCTTCTATACACTTCAGCACTGCTGAGTAATTCAGAAATGATTCAGAAGGATCTTGGCAGCATTTTTTCATTTTAGAAAGGATACCTGAGCTTAGAGCTCTCAGCACAGAGAAGGAGGGGTTTCCCTGCTTCACTCTCGCCTCTCTCAGGAGCCTGGATGCTTTGCTGACATCACTTGTCAGAGCACACTGCACAGCAAATTCAGTGTGTGCTGTTTAGGGGGCACTGCAGTCACAGCTTCCAAGGGTTCTCAAGGAGCCTTTCCCACATGTCAGAGCTGCTACAGCAAAGAGTGTGAGCACAGAACACAGCAACAACTCCCAGTCACACCCCAGGTGAACACACTTGCACAGGAAGGCCAAGAAGGTTGTCTGAGGCTGTCCCTTAGACAGGACCTGGCAGGGCATGCTGATCTGAGTACAGTTTTCAGACACCACGTACAGTTTAGATATCTGAGCTCAGAAGGCTGTGGGCAGCTGCCTGCTGGTTTGACCACAGATCTACTGAGGTTCTCTAACACCATCCCGCATGAGAATTCCAGAACAATTAATTTAAAAGGTGTAATTTAAGACATGCATTGAGTTGCCCAATCAATAGAGTGGGAATAACACCACTGGCACACAGGGAAGGTGTAAGAGATATTGAAGAGCAGCAAATATAAGACCAGGAGTGTTATCTAGTACTCTAAAAGAAACATAAGAATTCTCCTTGCTACGAATCTGGACATCCCATTTCAGAAGGAAAAGGAAAAACGTGGGAGAGGGCAGGTGCTTGCTGAGAGCAGATACTTACTGTCATCCCCGACAGGCCCTGCTGAACACTGTGCTGGAGGATCACGTGCCAGGTCGTTCAACTCCTAAAAAACAGGATGAGTTTGTTTCACTTCATTTCAAAAACAACCATGTCATTGCTCAAAGGCTGCTAGGGGCACTCTGGCAGCACCACAGAACTAATAACCAGGACTCTGGAAAGTAAAGTTGCATCTTAAACCCAGGAGACACATCTGGCACAGGCCTCAGTGACCAGTCCAGGCTCCAGAGCCCTGAGTCACAGCAATCCTCATGTCGCAGGGGTTGTCAGGTCTGCCTGCACTGGTCCCAAGCATTACCAAGGTATTTTATCTTCCAGCAGCCCTGGGTCACAGAAAGATAAGATGGCCTCAATCCAACAACTCTCAGTATCAGCCTTATTTTATCCCCTCAATTGTAACAGTTCCAGGGCTGCTACAGTGATCCAGTTTATCACCTCCAGAGCCAGCCTGCAGCACACACAGCCCCCACAACCTGGGGCTGCTTTGCCTCCACACACACACACATCAGCGACCATGGGTGGAATGGAATGAAACACAAGGCCTTCCATACCTAGAGACCTCACTGAAACCCTGTGCTTTTCACTGGCTGTGTCAATCAAATCTTCCTCGGAAAAAATCCTATTTTGAGTCTGAACAGGCTGAGTAACTCACCGTACACCTCAACTACAGTATTTTACTTCAATTCAAAGCAAAATTTCAGCACAGTTCAAAGAGTTACTGTTACCAGTAATTCACATCAGCCATTTGCTCAGGAAGGGGACGTTTGGTGGGAAGTGCAAATAGAGTAAAACTTTAAAGCCAAACTTTACCTGCTCCATTTCTGGCTCAGTCACTGACATGCTTTGCATGATGGGCCTGAACGTATTACCATTTTTCTCTGTGAAGTCAGTCTAGAAAGCTGAACACACACCAGATAAGGATTACAACTATTATCTAGCGCTCAGGAAACACTCCCATGCTGTCCCTGCGCCATTGTGTGTTCAGCTTTTCACCTCCCAGAACAGTTCAAACTGGAATCTCCATACCAGGCTTTTGGCAGACAAAACATTTAAGTATAATGATTAAGACAAGCTGATTGCAGGAATGGAAGAATTTTGCCATTTAATGGCCTTTTGTTATTTACAGGCAGTGATTAAGCTCTTGAACAGATGATCTCTGGCAGTTCCAGCTTCTACTTCCCAGGAACTGGGAGGCCACCACTAACCAAACCCACAAGACAGAAATGCTTGCTCACATCAAACACGAACATCTCTGGATTTCCCCCTCTGGATGCAGTGCCCCAGAAAACTTCACAGGCCCTGACACACACACACACAAGTTTGGATTTTGCCCTCAGCAGCTTCCAGCTTCTAGAGAGCCCTGCTGGAGGCCTCACTGACTTGACACCAGACTGTGGAAGCTTTTCAAGTGCTCCTGCTGGGCTTTTTCCACTTGGTGTTCAGCATGGACAAGAGCAGGAACAGACACTGAGCATGCAGCACCTGCTGAAGAGCCTTCTCCCTCCTGGAGGTGCAGAGAGTATCTCCAAGTGTTCTGCAAAAGCACAAAGCCATCTGGAGTTGTTTCAGCACCCTGAACCACCAGGGCAGCACAGGAATGTGCAGAAACCAGCACACACCTTCCTCAGGGTCAGTCTAGTCATGGCTCCAAAGAATGAAGTGAGTCTATACACACAACAGGCATATAAACTTTAAAATAGCAATGTATCTACTCTTTTAAAGGTGTATGGAGTACAGTCCACATCCAAACAGTACTGGACTGTGATTTTTTGGAAAAAAACAAAAATCTATTTAATGCTATTGTATTCAAAACCCCAAGCACACAACTAAAAAAAAATACTTCTTACCACTTCATGTATCAATACTATACATCCACAAGACTCAAAAGGTACAACTGTAAGAATCCATGTTTTCCATGCTTGACCACAACCTAGCATGGATGAGATTTATGAGCACACAACATGAACCTTCCCTGCTCATGTTACAAAGATGAGCTTGGGCACACATTCTATCAGTTAGTAGAATACACAGCTCCAGAGCTGCTCTGACTCTTACCCTATATCCTGCTGCCCAAATGCACAACCACTTCACCAAACTGCATATAACAGAAGGAACACAAGGTAAGTCCCCAACAGACACAGAGGTAGCACTGAAGTTCAGGTAGTAGCAGTTTCTCATCAAAATACTATTTCATTCTCTACATCTTCAGTTCCAGGGAGATTTCTGAATTTTCTGAAGCCCTGGGTATTATCTCAGTAGAAAGTGATGACTTACAACAACCACTTGTACTGCTTGTCTCAGTGACAAGGTGGCATTTCAGGTTCTGCACCGTAAATTCACAGAGTCAAACATCACAGACTAAAATAGAAAGGTCTATGTAATAACCAGTGTGTAAGTTCCTTGTGCTTAAAAAAGTATTGCACCAACTCTCAATTCAAGCTCCTGCAGCACAAAACTTCCCAAATTTTGTAGAACAGCTTGGAGAACAAGTTCAGCTCCTCCCCTTCACCCTTCAAGACTCCTCTGGAGTGCAGGCACCAGCTTCTGCCTACAAGAAAGGCAAACACACCCCTGGATTTCCTGGCAGGGCAAGGATAAGTCCTTTAACACCCCGTGCCATTCCCTTCCAGCTGCTCTAAGACTCCCACTACACCCGAAGAGCCAAGTTTAGGAACAAGAAAGGAGCAGCTCACAGCTGCATCTACCCAGGCAGGCACAGAGAGGAGCACCCACAGCTGCTGCACAGAGCCAGGCGCCCGTCCCAGAGGTTGCTCTGCCTTTTGCAAGCTCCTGTGCAGTTCCTGAGGTATCACGAGCACGACACCAAACCCAGCAAGGTCTTGGCTTCCAGTTGTTGCTGAGGGATTCTGAGAACCAGCTGGTTTCTGTAACGCAAACAAATGACTCTGGAGTGCCCATAAAACTGGAACTCCTAACACACGGAGAATTCAGTTAAAGTTTGCTATCATTACAAACCTGAATGCATTGGATCCCAAGTTGCAAGGCCCACTGTTTTTCCCTGTGATCCAGGAAGTCTTGCTGGTCCATGATCAAGACAGACCTTGACCACACTGATATTAAGCCAAAATCTGAAGAAAACCATAGCAGTTTCCACTCCAGACAGTTTTTGATCCTTAAGCAGATGCAGGTTTTGCTTCAGGAATTTACAAGCAGCCTTTAGATCAAGTTCCAGTTTGAGTTACTCAGCTCCCAGGGCTGCCTCACCCTGAGCTGGCTTTCCAGCTGAAGGCATCTTACAGAATTTAAAAGTTTCTGCCATCTTCCCCTAAGCAAAATACCCCTGGGGCTGGGCCCACTGCTGTGAATCCTACCATTAACCTGACCCATCTCACAACTCTTAATGAGTTCCTTAGCAAAAATGAGGAAGTGGAAGCACACCACAAAGCAAGGTTCAAGGTGTCCTGCCTAAAGGCCAAGTTGAACGAAACTACTACCACTAAATCCACAAAGAAGATACCCTAAAAGCTATAAAAATCTCACAAGAAACTGTCATTTAGGCTCCAAAACCCAATTTAATTGTGCTTTTAAACTCCCAACACACCAATCCCTACTCAGAGGTTCCAGGAAAGCATTTTAAGGAAGATGGAATGTGCTTATACTACAGATTCCCCAACTGTGCTTCCCAAGTCATGAAAGATATCAGCTGCCAGCAAGGCCTCGAGGCTCACAGGTAAACCAGTGCCACCAGCCTTGCTCAGCCTCACACCACCCTCATCCCTACTCTCCTCCTGTTCTATCTCCCAGGAGCTGGTACACTGCCTTTAAAACATACCTCAATGGAAGTATCCACAAATTGTACAAGAAGCTTTAAAAAAACTATCAAGCAGAAATGGTTTAAGTCTAAGTTTAACCCTGCACACGTTTCAAGTTATAATTATCAACTCCAAAGACATTTGTTAGTGAAGTTCCAATTTAATCCCATAGACAACAAATACCTCCCCAGTCTAACACACTCCTGGTAAAACCTGCTCTGGCCAAATGATAAGACTAGTTTTAAGGATTCATTTAATGCTAGTACAACCTTCAGTAAGAATAACCAACATAACTGCCAACATCAAGAAGCCAATCAGACAAGTAAGAAGCCAGCATGCTTTAACAGTCAGCACCAGCAACTTTAAGCCTTGGTACACAGCAGTGCTCCTCAAATCCACTCCAACACACTATATGTATTTCTCTGGATTATCCAAAGTCTTCTTAACTTGAACTCCATGGGCTTTCGACTCTGCTCCAGTATGAGCTGCTTTCACACTACTTTACTGAGAGGCCACATTAGCTTGATTATAAACCTAATTTCTGCCTCAGGTTGCTGCTGTAAGTGAAATAAGCTTTCCATCTGCCTTTAGCAAGTTTACTTGCCTGAAGCCCCTGAACCCTTCAGCAACAGGCAGCGTAGGGAGATGTTACAAAATCCTGATTTATGTAACCAAAAAGGAACTGGTAGCCACTTTAACCATTAATTGCTCCCAGCTCCCAACAGAGTAAAGCCAAGCAACAAGGAATGAGGGCCAAAGTCGAACTGATCACACCCTGCCTCACCTCAAGACCATGGCACACACGAGCTACCAGCTCCCTGTGTAGGGCCAACAGTGCAGGAAGCTGGGAAGAGCCTGTGCACATTCCCTGGGCCAGCAGCATCTCCCTGCCAGGTGCCAGAGCCTGCATCCAGAGGCATTTTCTCAGCTCTGCTCTCCACCTGCCCAGCAGCAGTGTCATGTGTCACACATGTGCACAAGGTCAGACCAACAATTCCCTACAGTATCCATAGGTGCTCTCCCCACAACAGGACCGTCATTCCAGAGTATCTGACACTACTATTAACAATTTAATCCTTTCCTTTTGATAAAAATTGCTTTTGCAATGCTTGAAGTTGCTCAGATCCCCCAACTCTGACTCCTCACAAGGCTCTGCAGAAGTCTGAAGTCAAGTATAAGCAGCATAAGAAGTCATGAAATGCTGCAATAACCAAAGTACATGATATAAACAAGCTCTGATGTAACTGCTGCCTTTCTTTTTTTTTTCCAAAGTCTGAACAGGAAGAAGACCAAAGCAATGTGTACCTTCCTCCTGGTGTAGAATCTGAGTACCAAAACACCTCTCTAGCTAACAGAAGCTGCAGCAGCATTCTCTGTACACAAGCTCTCCAACACAGATGGGCTGCGCTGGCAGCTCCACGCACGCAGCAAGAGGCCCAGCGGAAAAACCCAGTTGCTCCCACTGGCTGCTGTACAGAAATGGCAGCACAGAAATAACACCAGGTCTGCTGAGCACAGGTAGAACAAAGACAACTCTGACCACCAACGCTGGTCTGCACTGTTGTCCTCACAAATCCCACCCACAGGCACCGCTCCTTTTGGCAGGAGTGATGCCTAAGCATCTCTGGGCTGCAGGACTACTGCAAGTACTACCACTCTCTTCCACAGCTACACAGGAACAGCACTATGGAATTCAGTTTAGCTACCCGGTTTTTGGGCCTATGCATTATAAGCAGTAGTAATCCTCAATTCCTTTGCTGCAGAAAGTGTTTTACTTGAGCAGCGCTCAAGCACAGCTGCTGCTTTCCCTTCCCCCTCACCCGCCAATCACACAGGGGAACCCGTCAAAGACAATGAGCTAACCTTTTCTTCGCTTTCCCATTCAAAGAACTCCAAACCGTGCCCCAGTTATCCAGTTATAGGTATTGCATTCTCTAAAGATAAGCAACACAGATTGAAGATGTGGCTGAATCCAAAAGGTTTCAGCTTAAACCTTAAAATGGAAGGTCCTCCTGTACCTCCCTGCCATCCTGCCCTTGGATTGCTTTACACTGCTTTTCTTATAAAATACATCTAGAATAAAATAGATAGTTTTTACATATATATAAAAATACCAATTCTATTACTATACTTCAGTGTTACCCCCAATGACTCTGCCTGGCAGTACTGATTACACCTCAAACACTTCTCACAAGAAAAGATTGCAAGTTTCAGACCCATGATCCAATAAAAGCACCTAAACAAGAATTTAGAGCTGCACTGCCCAAAATATTGTGGTAACACAGGCAGCAATCTGAGAGCAGGTCTCACCCAGTCTAAGCTCTTTTGCAGCATCTGCTTAAGAGAACAGCTGCTGCTGTGTGCACACGTTACCCCAGCTCGAGCCTCTGCACAATCCCAAAAGTAACTGTGCCACCAGTGCCACACTGGGACAGACTCTGCAGGTTCCTGTGCGGCCTCACGCCAGCAGCAGCTCTGGCTCACTGCATGTTCTGCCCCTCTCTCCCACCCCAAGTTCAATATACAAGAGGCCATTTCAGGTAACACTGTATCAAACCTTCACTCTTGGGATTTTCTCCTTTCCAAATTCCCGGCCCCGTGTTATCTGAGGACACAAAAATTTTTACAAAAGCCTCAAAGAAAGCCCTGGTGGCTCAGTATAAAACCCAACTGACAAGAGCAAGAGCCAGTGGCCAGACTGAGCCCTGCACATCGATATACCATGACTGAGAACACCCTTAAAAAAAAGCCAAAGCAGCAGTTTTCTCTCCCATCATGTCTCTGTGCTCCAGTCCATTGGGATTATTCCTACTCAATCCACATTCTGCAAGCTTCTGCAGCAGCAAAGGTCAGAAACTGGCTGTCCCCTCGTTATCCTAACAGGGATGGCCACTACACACTGCCAGAGCCCAGAACAACCCTGAGATGATGATAGGAACGCTCTCCACGGGGTTTAAAATAGCCAGAGCGTAAACAGCCAGCCATGATTACTGAAGCAGCTACACTGAGACACCCACAGCAACTCACTCAGAGTGTTTCTTCCAGCCTGTAGATTCACGCCCATCCAACTTTCAAAGCATCTGGGCTGCTACAACAGGCAGATTTATTTCCCTCCCCATACGCTGTTTTGTGGAAATGCTGCCTCCAGCCCCATCACCTCCCTCTCCTCCACAGCCACCACACTCCACATAAACTCTCTTTGCAGAGCTCACATAAAACTGCTTTGGTGATGCTCTCGCTACTTCCCAAGGCTTTGAAGACTCTCATACCCCTACACAGTCCCCATTATCTCTCAGGATTCTTTATTCTTGAAAAGCAGCATGAAGAGTCAGTCCACAAGCACCCAACGTTAACAAAGACTCCACACATCCAGCTTTTCTCCTGTCACAAACCAGCCTGGAAACACAAGTGCTCTCAGAGTCTTGACTCCTGACCCTCAGCATGCACTGAACTACAACCAACCAGCTTATCTCAGTTGCCTGACACAAAATTCACCCTCCCCACGACAGCTCTGCACTGCCTGTGTATGCCCAGCCTCCCACAGCCACATTTACCCTATTCAGCATCCACTGCTGTATCTCCCACACCTATGAACCCACTGCAGAGGTTTGACGGCTCTTCCAAAGCACCTGCGAGCCCACAAACACTGTGGAAGAGTCCTCACAATGCTCTGAGGATCACTAAAGTGCAGGACAGAACAGTGCAGAGAAGCAAGACTCAGCTGGGACACAACTTCCTTATGTAACTCACTACCAGATCCACAGCTGGAAATCCAGCAGTCTAAAACCATACTCCAAACACCTCCCTTCCCAGGACTACCTATTCCACAAGCATAAGTAAGGCTTCAAGCTCTTCCATTTTCTTCTCCACCTGAGCTTTAACCTGATCAGTAGGACACATGAAGCTGCACAAAGCCTCCAAGGTAACCTACAACCAAAGCAGAGATGTTAACACAGAGCCAACACTACACATGAAACCAAACAGGGCTACAGAGTGAGCTTGGAGGTAGTGGGTTTACAGCTGGCTCTGGACAAAAAATAATTTACATCATGAGCAAGTAGAGAAACACTATGAGAGGGCTGTTTCCCACACCTGAACCTTGTACAGCTTCCAAACTGACAGCTACATTTTGCAGGGAAAAGGATACAAATTCCCTGCCTAAGTCACAAAAAGTGGACTGCAATTACCGTTCAGAGTATTTTTTCTGGTAAAAGACACTGATAATCAAGCACTGTCCTAAGACGGTAATGGACTGGGCAGCAGTGTTTTTCCAAAAGGCCAGGACATGGAGCACGGCGCAGCTCCCGCTCCAGGAGAAGGCAAGCTCGTAGCTTTCCCTACAAGCCTGCGGGATGACTCAGGCTACATTACAGCGCTGGATCCATTAAAAGATCAAACCACACTACTGTGTGACAGGTTTACTGCGCTCCGCTGCCCGACAGCGCGATCCTTGTCGCTGCTGGAGGAGGTAGAGGAGCCCTTGGACACAGGGCTCCGACACGAGCCACGCCGGAACTTCCAGCGCGGGCCACGCTGCGCTCCTCGGGGCGCCGTCCCCCGGCCGGGCCGAGGCCCCGCGGAGCCGCAGCAGCTGCCGGGGCCGTCGCCACCCCCGGCCCGGCCCCGCCGCCGGCGCCCCCTCGCGGCCCCGGCCCGGCCCCGGGAGCCACGTTGCTCCAGAGGGGCCCGGCCGCGGTGCAGCCCCGCAGGCAGGCCCGGCCTGGCCCCCCTCGAACAAAGCGGCCGCGGCCCCCGGGAGCGGCCCCTGCGCTGCCGCCCGGCCCGAGCCCCGCGGGGAGGAACCCGGGTGGGCCCGGCCCGGCCTGCCCGCCCCCCCCCCACTGCAGGCCCGGGGCCGTGCTGGGTTATGTAAGGCGAGCGGGCTGGGGGGAGTGGGGCCGTGCGGGGCCGGGCCGGTTCGGCCCTTACCTTGTGGATTCTCTTCAGCGCCATTGTGTGCGCGAGGCGGCGGCAGGAGGGGCGCGGGCGGAGGGAGGGGGCGGCCCGCGGGACTATTTGCGAGGGGAGGGGGGGAGGAGGAGGAGCGCGGAGGTGGCGGCTGCGCAGGGAGGGGACGGGGTGGGACGAAGCGAGCGGAGGGGCGGGAGGGCACCGGGGCCCCCCGGGGCGGCGGGGGCCGGGGCCTGGCCGGTGTCGGGCGGTGGCGGCCGCGGGCTCAGCGCTGCCGCAGCTCCTCCGTTCCCTCCGCCGCCGCCGCCGCTTTATGCGCTGCCTCCGCGCCGCCCGCAGCGGATCACTCCGCCACGCCGCCGCCGCTGCCTCCGGGCACAACTCCGGTTCCTGGGGCGGAGGCACCACCGTGGCGGGGAGGGGAGGGAAGGAAAAGGCCTGCGCGGGAGCGGCGGGAGGAAGAGGAGGAGGAGCGGGGG